TGCGGCTTGTTGGGTGCCTACCAGATTGTCCTCTACATGGCAGGTGTATGATAATGATCTGTTCATTTAGTCAACAGTGTTGACTGACTGGTTGATTTATAACTGGAAAAGTCTGGGAACGGCCTATGGGACAAGAGAAGAAACGTGTTTTCAATGCCTTAATGTGCCAGGCTCTCACTAAACGACTTCACAGACTTTATCTTATTTCATTCTATCAACAGCCATGCAAGGCCGCTGTTATTTATTCCCTGTACGGCTGCAGATGGTGGGATTCAAAGGAGGTAAGTGATTCACTCAAGATCCCAGCCCTGAATGGCCATGCAGTCTCATTTCTTAAAGAACGTGAGCGTGACCATGCATCTGTGTGCCTGTGTGCCAAAGCATGCACGGAGAAAGGTTAACTGGTGACTCTGTGTGGTTCCCTCCGACGTACTGGCTGCAAAAACATCTCCCGTTGCACACACCCAAGGCCAGGCAGCTGCAGCATCTCAGAGTTCAGGAAATAAGCTCCAAGAATGCAATCAGTCTAGGAAGATGTCTTCTGTTCATCATCCCATCTTGCACTTTATCAGTTTTTAAATGTTGCCAACTAAATAAAAGTTCAGATGGGGAAATCTAGTTGTGTATCCTAGGAGACGGTCACAGGCAGCCTGATGCCCGTGAGTGGTGGGTGTAGAAAGTCACCATGAGGCTGCGTGAACGTCCTTCCAGGAGGAGGTTAGAGGCTTAGAATTCTCTGATCCAAGGCCTTCCCTCTAATTTCTCCGCACCTCCAAACTTCACAACTGTCTTTTCCTTTCTTCTTACTTTCCTTAACATCTGCTCAATTGTTTCTTTATACAAAGCTTTAAAAACGTGTTTTGCATTTTCCAAATATATTTATGATAAATTCTTTGTAATATTAATGAATTACTTAGAACTATGTGGCTTTCCCACACCTGTATCAATGTAATGATGTATGATAGTAGTTTGGTCTATTTGCTCCCTTCCAAATGGTCTCCACACCATATATTTTTACCAAGACTAATTCCTCCTTAGCTATATGCGATCAAGTGATGCTGCATTAAAAAGCTGGGCAATCTCATAATGTCAATCAAAAGAAAGTTTGATAACTCTAAGGGGAGAGGCAGCAACCTCCGAAACCTGCCCCTTCGTCACAGGAGTCACGTAAATGCAATTCTCTCTTGAGAACGGAGCCCCCAACTCTTCCAAGCCGCCTGCTCGCTGACAAGCTGACCTCACCCCCCCACTCCTATCTGGACTACACTTCTTCCCCTATGGAACAGAGGTGAGCCTCCTCACAAAAGCCCCCAAACAGACTGCGAGAAGAGCTATGAGAACTATGAATGGAGGAAGCACCACGAACGATGTGCTACCAGAATGGCCCCTGCTCTGCAATCAGGCTGACCAGCCAGAGCCAGGGGGGGCTGGGCCACCACGTTGATCCCAATGACCAAACTGGATGAGAGAGACTCCAAGCAAGGGCCCCACAGGGCGTGGCTGTGACCCCAGAGGAGGCATGCTAGGAGCATCCCTGACCTTCTCTCTGGCCCTCTGGGGTGGCCTGGAAACTGGGCACAGCTTCTTACCATCCCACAGCCCAGAGCCTCTGGGTGTCCTGTCTGGTCCCAACATCTCACCTACAGTGGGCCCCTGGCAGACTACAGCTTCAGCCAAGAAGTGTGGACAGATTCTGGTGGGTGGATTCCCCTGAACTTAGCACTAAGGAAAAAGGGTCACTGTTGGTCACATGACCAAACCCACTGGCAGGGGTCTCCTCTCCTCTCTGTCCGCTCCTCCTCATGTGTGGGGATGGGAAACGCCCCTTCATCCACTCATTTCAGAAAAGCAGCACAGAGTGAGCCTGACACTCATTCTAGCCCTTGACATCCCATCACCACTGCCCACTCTACCTGGTGAAGTTTAACCTGGCTCCAATTCTGCTGGCCTTCCACGATCTGGCCCCATTCACAGGAAGCAGCTGATCCAAACTTACATAAATTCTTTGGGAACAGAAATACCTTCCTCACATACCCAAAGCCCTTTGCTTTGAAGTTATACAAGAGTTTCTGTAACTCTTCCAAAAACCTATGTTATGTCTAAGGACTCTTTGAAATATAAATAAAATGAAGCAGCATAAACAGAAAACAATTAATACTTGAGCCTGTGGTCTTTGAAGATCCAAAAAGTGCAGTTTGCACAGCTTTTCAAGATAAGACTGAGAGAGGGAAGCCACAGACCCACACCCTGGGCCACTGTCAAAAGTAGGGGGAGCCAAAGAGACCACAAGACTTCTCTCCATGCTCCAGAAACAGTTAAGTAATGATCGATTCTAATCATACATCTCCTTTAAACAGATACCAAACATCTCTGGAGAGAGCATGAATTCCATGCAATAGGAAACAGAGCCTGCATTCCCCCTGCCCCTGCACTCAACACTCTCTGATAAACCATTCTGGAGATTTTATATGTGGCAGGATTTAACTGATGCTCAATATTAGAATAAAGTTTTATTGAACACATCCATCTGTTTACCATTTATGGCTGCTTTTGCACTAAAAGGGCACTGTGGAGTAGCTGCAACAGAGACCAAATGGCTCACAAAGCCTAAAATATTTACTATTTGGTCCTTTATAGAAAAAGCTCGCCAACCCCTGCTGTACATGACTCTTTAGCTATAAAGAGGCTTTGGAACGCCCCCACTGTGGACACCAGAAATTATCTAGTTGACAGCACTTCTCCTCCATACCTCACAGCAGAGCCGGAACTGACAAAGAGAAACACACACACGCCACATCTCCACCTCACAGTGCCTCCCCCGGTCAAGAGTGACTCACAACATTACCACCCACCGGAACCACCTCAAGCACAGCTGAGAACCAAAATCAAAGTAATGGAGGGCAATGCAGACTTGGTTAGCCTAAGTTCCTGTTTCTTTTCTGTATGCGTTCCACGACCACCTTGCAACCAAGAGGTCCACTCCAAGTCACCACGCTGTCTCTTCCGTCCCACCTTCAGCCCTTCCTCTATACAGTGCACTCAGGAAGAAGCCTCCAACGTCCAGCTCACACGAATGGGACAAACAAGGCAGAGTAAACAACAGAAGTGTCTACTCAAGCAGGAATTTCACATCTCAAGTTGTAGAGGTCCACCCACAGCTGGCACACAATGAATGCAGCCTCCTGGCGGGGTTCCTTTATCTAAAGCACAGCGCCCTCACATGGTGCTAAAGGGAAGGACAGTCTTCCTGGAAGAACCGCAGGGCTGAAGTGAACCCTCTCTGTTCAGATGCCCTCTGCAAGAGGGCCCAGCACTCAGGGAGGGTTTTAAGTCAGTGTCATCCAGATTTCCACCCTCGGCTCCTTCAGAGAGCTCCTCGCTGGAAACTGTACACCAAGAAGTATAAACTCTGACCTCTACAGAAACTCACTAAACCGCAGCAAATGGGATTCAGATGTTTCCATGTACAGTACAGTGATGTGACCTAGACTTTAAACGCTTTGGCAAAAACAGGAAAAATGATGTGGGCCTTCCAGTCCCTCCCAGAACATGATACGGCCTTGACCCGAGTCCTACGGTGATCTGAGCTATTCTCACTCCTTCTTAAGCTTCCTTACCCAGAGCCCACATTCTCCACCCCAGCTCCCACTGGCTCCTACCAGGCCCCCAACCAAAGACGCTAATTCCTCTGAGCAAAAGTAGATCCCATTCTGATTAGGACTCAGAAGTCCCGAAAGGGGAACTGGCGAAGGGCAATCCTAGGAAATCACCACCAGACTTCTCTACACTGCTGGGAAGAAAGCACAAGTCCCCCACAAACACCTAGACCCCCTGGCTCTCTGGCTTTGCTGCACACTATGTGGGTAAAGGCCAGAGAATTCTAGATGGTACAGCAAAATAAGACAGAGGTGAGAGAAGCAGTTTCTTGTGCCTAAGAAGGACAGACAAAAAGAACACTAGAAAATGCTTCCCCAGAGGTTAGCCACGACAGAAGCTAGAAAAACCACCTGCGTGTTTCATGCTCCTAGCCAACACCAGGCTTTGCTTGGGGCAGCTCATACGCCAGCCCTGCGAGCTCCTCAGGGGCACGATAGAGAAGCTGGGAAGTGTTTGGCTGGGCACCAGCATAGTAGAGGGATCAAGTGTGAGCAGAGGCAAGGCAGCGGTGCACAAGGACTTCCCCTGCCTCTCCGAACACCTGTCACAGGTGCCTCAAATGCAGCAGGGCAATGTCCTTGGGGGTGGGGAGGAGCTAGCAAGGGAGCTTCTGGGGACAAGGAGAGGGTCTTATCACCAATGTAAGCACCCCTCAGGCCTGACTGAGAGTGGGTGCCAGACAAATGCCTGCTTATGTTATAAGAGAATAAGGATATGAACACCCTCCCTTCTCCCGGTTCTCACGTTTCAAATAAGAGTAGGTTAGTGGCCTGTCAGGGGACCCATCCAAACTTCCTTTTCCAGGTACAGAATGACGCAAAAGGACAGAAAGGAGGTGAATGTCCACCACCCCATCCTCACATCCAAGAATAGATGAGATACACACATGTAGGTGTTCCCCATGATAAGCACACATACACACCTGTGCAGATGCAAACAGTGTTCTCTCCACACCTGGGCAAAGTGCGCCTCTCAGTCTAGGGGTCCGACAAACTTGACCCTCGCTAGGCCTGTGCTCCCCTGGGCGGGCTGCGGCGGGTCCCCCTAGGCAACCCCAGACGGGCGCAGGCCCGGTGCACCGCAGAAACTCAACACAGTTGGTGGAAGAGAGTGGACAATCGGACCCTTCCCCTCCCACCTCCTTTGCTCATAGACCCTCAGGAAGATGTAAAGGGGCGGGGGCGGGAAGGGGCAGCAGGAGGTTCCCTCTGGCCGCCAGCAGAACACAGCTGGAGGCTGACCTTCCCTCCGAGGCGCCCCCACCCCCATCCCAGCCCTCTCCAGGGGCCACCCCTGCGCCGCGACAGACCGACAGGCAGACCCGGAGGGGGCGCGGGCAGTACCAGGCCGCCGGCGGCGCCACAGGCGCTGAGCGAGACGAGGGAGCCGGGGTGGCCCAGCACGCGGCCTGAGTAGAAGCACAGCTCGGCGGGGCGTCCGCGGCGCTCGGCTACGCCCGCCTCCTCCACCTCGAAGCCGCGGGACAGGAAGCGCAGGTCGCGGCGCAGCTGCAGGTACAGGTCGCGCCCAAAGGCCGGCAGGTGCAGCAGCAGCGCGCGCTCGCCGGGCCGGGCGCGCGGGGCGGTGGGGGGCGCGCGGGGGCGCCGGCGCCTTCGGGGCGCGGGGGCGCCGGGCAGCGGCGGCAGGTGCACGTCGTCCGGGCGCACCCGCCGCGGGAGCACCACCTCCACGTCGGCCGCCGCGTCGCCGACAGCTGCGGGGAGAGAGCAGACGCGTCAGCGCGGCGGGGCCCACCCGGCCGCCCGCCCTCCCGCCGGCCGCGCGCCGGGGCCAGCGCTGGGCATGCCGCGCCAGCGCAGGGACAACGCGGCCCGGAGCGGGCGCTGTCTGCCCTTCCCTCGCCCCGGCACCTCCACGCCGGCCAACGCCTCCGCCCGGGCCCCGCGCCACCCGGGGAAGGTCTCCGGCGCGTCCGCCCGAGCACCTCCGGGAACGGCGCCGCAGCTTCGGCGTCCAGAGAACCCGCAGTGGCGCGGCCGGCGGGAGCCCCGTCCTCCGGCCGCGGCCCGCGCCTCCCGGCCCCAGGCGCTGTCAGCGGTCCGCCGGCGGAGCCGGGCCGTGCGGGCAGGCAGGGGCCGCCAGGATGCCGCGGAGGGCAGAAGGAAGGTGGCGGCGAGAGGCGCTGGCGAAGAAGGGGCGGTGGGAGAGGGAGCGCTACCTGTGCCCGGGTCCAGTCCCCAAAACAGCAGCAGCAGCAAGGGCAGGACAAGAGGAGGCAGCAGGGCGCCGTCACACATGGTCCTGGGGAGGAGCAGCCCCCCGGACGGTCGCGGCGGAGCAGGAGCGCGCGAGCGGCGGCGCCAGCCGGAGTGAAGCCCTTCAGCCTTTGGAAAAAGTAATTAGCGCTGCGGACAAACCCAACGTGGTAAATCCCAAGCCCCGCCTTCCCCTCGGAAAGCAGGAGTTGATTGGACGCTCGCTTCCCCCTGCCCCGCCTCCCCCTTTCCTATTGGCTAGGACGAGTCTAAACCATGGTGCGTAGTTAGGTTGTAAGCATTTTCTTACACGTGGTTTCTGGGCAGTGGCGGGAACCGGACACCAGGTGGCGCGAGGGAGCCGCCTGGATTCTCATGATCCCGAAGGACCCGGGAGGACGCTCCAATGGTCTTCAGAGTTTGTCCTCATTTTCGAAATCCCATCTGGCCCTGCCGTCCAGCTTCCCAAGAAAGGCCAGAAATCGTCCTGGCCAACAGGTTTCATCCATAAAAGCATATTCTCTCTGTATCTAAAGTAAAACCAGCTTTGGTTGTTTGTGGCTGGGCACTTTCTTGCACACCTGAATTTGCATCCAATGTAGCGGTATTTATCCAAACGCTTCCCACGTCCTGTCGTCTTTATCCTCACCAAGCCAGTGGATCAGGCATGATCACACCCTCTGACACACTGAGAAACAGGGAGAGAGAGTTTAAGGAGCTTGCTAAGTTACCCAGGAGTTTCTGTCAGCACAAGAGCGAGAATTTGTGGTCCTGACTTCGGGCCCAGTGCTGCTCCCTGTGAACAGCAAGTGCCCTCCAAGGCAGGCAGGAAGGAATATTAACCCAGTTTTACTGGTTAGGAAACTGGGGCACAAAATGGCAAAGCCGGGACTTGAACCCAAGTCTTCCAGCAACAGAATGAGTTCATTCTTTTCCCACCAGAATATACTGAAGCTGGCAGGAAAGGTGATTCCTTATCTTCCTGGGGAGCATGTTGTAGAAAACAAAACAAAGCAGAATCAACCAAAGTGTACCCGTTCTCAGTTCTCTCCTCTTCCTCCCCTGTTCTGCCTGTTTCTATTCTCTCAAACCAGAGAGTTTACAGCACTCCTACTGGGCTCTGCTTAGGGCTTCTCAGAATCTAAAATTTGTCACAGGATTACATGTCATCAGAAGAAATCCAGAGGTGAGCAGTGCCCAGCTTCCATGATGTTTAATTAACCATCGGAGTGGACTGTGTCACTGATTCTCAAGGAAGCCCGCTGCTCTCACTGCTGTAAACTTGCTGCTCTTGTGTCCCCCGGGGTTTAGCTGGTGGAATCCTCTTCTGCTCTGTCACTCCTGCTCACCGCTGGGCTGGCCACTGCTAGGCACCTAGCAGTTCGTCCACTGTTCCAGAGGCTGCCACTCACTGCTGGGTACCTGCAGTTCTGGAAGCCTTGGCACTCGTCCTGCTTTATGCCCAGGCTTTGGGCTTTTTCCCTCCCCCTTGATCAGCCTCAGCCAATCGAAGGCTCAGCAGCATCTTCTGGTGGCATAAGAAATCTTGATGAGCTTTCTTGTGCAACTTTGTTGGCAAAAGAGCCATCTCAAAGGCCTGCCACTGAAAGCCAGGAGTAGCAGCCACACTGCCTCGCAAGAACAATTCTTCTCCAGTTGGAGTCAGCCTGAAGTAGTCATCGTCAACCTATCAGATGGTGCTCAAAGGCATTAGTCCGTAGAGGCATGCAAACTAAAAAACAGCAAGATACCATTTAATTCCCCAGATTGTCCAAAACTAAAGAGCTTGGAAACATGAAGAATTGAAGAGGACGCTCTCCTGCCCATGGGTGGGAGTGTAAATTGGCACAGCTGCTTTGAAGAACAATTGGGCAAACTATAGTAAAATTAAAAATGTACACACCCTACAGCTCTGCAGTTCCACTTCTGATTAACTATTGCACAGAAACACTGGCACATGTACAAGAATGGTCACCATGGCACATTAGTAAGAGCAAAAAATTGCAAAAACCTGAATGTCCATTATTAGATAAATGGCTTATAGAACACCAGGCACCAATTAAAAGAAATGCAAGAATCTCATATTTATAGCAACATGTAGAGACCTCCAAGACCAATTCAACTGTCAAATTTTTAAAAATCAAGAGGTAAAATAATGCATATAAAATGATAATACTTGTGTAAACACACACAGTATTAATTCGTTTGTATGGTAAAATCATAGAGAAAAACCTGGAAGGATACAGACCAAACATTTTCAACACACTAAAGTGTTCTTTTTATATTAAATTGCATGAAAGGCTGCTACATCAGTGTCCAGTCAGGATGACTGATAGCATCCTGGGTATTTCAAGCAGAGGGAATTTGACACAGATGACTGATTACAAAAGTTGGGAGGGACTGAAAGATTAAGTTCAGTGATCATATGCTGCCATTGCCCCTGGGGTCCATTGCAGCCCCAGGGGCGTGTGCCCGCTGCTGCACTATTGAAGACACTGTCACAGTTGGTTCTGGGTCTCCCAGAGATGCAAACTTGACCAGGGGCCCATGCCTATTGCCACTGCAGCAACGTCCAATACCTGCTACACTGGACCCTTATCTCTGTCCCTTGACACCTGATCTCCTGCAAGGGCTTCTTTTTGGCAGAACATAACAGGAAACCAAAGAAAACGTAAGGGAGTCAGAACATGTGGGTTACAGACTTTCAGCCTCCACAATAAAAAGCAGATCATGGAAGACAGCACATGAGGCTGGGAGACAGACCCTCTAAAAGTCTTAATCTGGCCTAGATGAGTGTGAATTCCCTTTGCCCCTCATCATTGTGTTCTTCAGTCACCATTAAAAGTTTAAGCCTCCCCCCGGAACAATCTACTGATTCAATGCACTCTCTATCAATATTCCATTGGGATTTTTCACAGAAGTAGAAAAAACCTAAAATTCTTATGGAACCAAAAAAGACCCTGAATAACCAAAACAATCTTGAGAAAGAAGAACAAAAATGGAGGCACCACACTTCCTGATTTCAAACTACATTACAAAGCTATAGTAATCAGAACAGTATGGTACTGTCATAAAAACAGACACATAGACCATGGAACAGAATCAAGAGCCCAGAAATAAACCCAAGTATAAACAGTCAACTAATATTCAACAAGGGAGCCAAGAATACTCCAGGGGAAAGGACAGTCTCTTCAATAATTAGATTTGGGGAAACTGGATAATCACATGCAAAAGAACGAAATGGGACCCCTATCTTACACCACTCACAAAAATCAACCCGAAACAGATTAAAGACTTCAATGTAAAACTTGAAGCCATAAAACTTGTAGAAGAACACATAGGGAAAAAGCTTCCTTAACATTGGTCTTGGCAATGATTTTTTGGATGATACCAAAAGCGCAAGCAACACAGCAAAAATCAACAAGTGGGACATCAAATCAAAAGCTTCTGCACAGCAAAAGAAAGAATCAATAAAATAAAAAGGCAACCTATGGAATGGGAGAAAATATTTGCAAATCACATATCTGGTAAGGAGTTAATATCCAAAATATATAGGGAACTCATGCAACTCAAGCGAAAAAAATAATCCAATTTAAAAATAGGCAAAGGAGCTAAATAGATATTTTTCCAAAGAAGGTATACAAATAGCCCACAGGTACATAAAAAGGTGCTCAACATCATCAATCATCAGAGAAATGCAAATCAAAACCACAATGAGATATCATCACACACCTGTTAGGATGGGTATTATCAGAATGACAAGAAATAAGAAGTGTTGGGCTGGCCCCGTGGCCCAGCGGTTAAGTTTGTGAGCTCCACTTTGGCAGCCCAGGGTTTCGCCAGTTTTGATTCTGGGCACAGACATGGCACCGCTCATCAGGCCATGTTGAGGCGGTGTCCAACATAGCACAACCAGAGGCACTTACAACCAAAATAAACAACTATGTACCGAGGGGGCTTTGGGAAGAAGAACAAAAAAAGAAGATTGGCAACAGATGTTAGCTCAGGTGCCAAAAAAAAAAAAAAAAAGAAGGGTTGGTGAGGAGTGGAGAAAAAGGAACATTTGTGCACTATTGGTGGGAATGTACATTGGTGCAGCCACCATGGAAAACAGTATAGACATTCCTTGAGAAATTTAAAATAGAACTATGTTATGATCCAGCAGTTCCTCTTCTGGTTATTTATCTGAAGGAAGACATTATACTAAGTGAAATAAGCCAGTCACAAAAAGACAAATGCTGTATGATTCCACCTACATGAGGTAGCTAGAGTAGGCAAATTCATAGCGGCAGAAGGTAGAATGGTGCTTACCGGGGGCTGGGGGAGGGGGAATGAGGAGTTAGTGTTTAATAGGCACAAAGTTTCAGTATGGGACGACGAAAAAGCTCTGGAGATGGATGGTAGTGATGGCTGCACAGCAATGGAAGGAACTTAATGCCAATGAACTGTACACTTACAATGGAAAATGATCAATTTTATGTATGTTTTCCCACAATAAAAATGTGCTTAAAAAAAGAATCATTACTATTTGCTATGATCTCATTTCATCTTAAAACACACAAATTGGCTTGCCTTAATTTTGTAGAAGGGCAGGGCTTAAACCCATTTCACAGATGGAGGAGCCGGGGCTCAAGGGGAGATTAAAAACAAGACAAACAAGCAGAGGAAAGCCCTACAGGTAGCAGCAGAGGTCTGGAGCTCCCCTTCCTTGTCCTGGTCAGAACAATTCCTTGCACTCAACTTTTTAGCTTGTCCACCTGCCTTTTGTGAGCAGCTCTATTCTGATGGCCAGTGATCTTTTCCGATCTTGTTGTCTGGAACTGACCCCAAGCATGTCAGTTATATTGCCTCTCTTGGCCTACCTCAGATGCTTCAGGCCCGACAGCCATGTTTGGATGCTGGTAGCCATCATCATGACCATTACTATTGTTAGTGAACTAGTGAAAGCAGATAGCCCCTAAAGCAGCGCAGATTCTGCCCAAAACCACCAAGTTCAAGGCCCACACTTAGAAATAGAGGGTCAAAGACACAGACTGGGCAGTGTGAAGAGGACTGCAGGCACTTAAGCTTGACCCTCTTTAATCACTCCAACTCAGGGCTTTCTTGAGCTGGTGATTGGTACACCCA